AATTAAACAAGCAAGATTTCAAACATGTCAAAAATAAAACTTCTGCACGGAAAAAACAATTCTGTTGGTGCAATCGAATTTTCGGTTGCTCAGGGATCAGACGAAAACTCGGCTGTAGGAGCAGAAAAATTCCTTTATGAGGCTTCTGTCTAGTCAATTGTTCTTAGTTGCCTCAACCGAGTTCTAATATCATTGAATGTTCAGATGAATATGTTCGATTGCGACAACAGAAATATTAGTTTTATAACAGAGATATCGTTTCTGACTACCTAATTTTCAGTTGGTTCCTATTTGGTTGTACCAACTAAAATTTTTTTTACGTGTGCTCGCTCGATTCTGAAATCTGTTAAAGAACAGTAGAAATCATCGATTTTGCTAACTTACTCCGGCAGTTAAGTCTAAAAGATAGCATAGGAGGAGAGCGTACTAGGTGGCGGCGGAACGCCGTGCGTTCGAGATCTGAATATCTTTTTCGTTCCAGAGAGAGAAAAATATCGAGAGCGCGATTTTGCTAAGCCGGAACTCGAATCCGGGTCCTTTTGCTTGCCGAGCGACTGCTCTCCCACTGAGCTCCCTGACGCTTACAACACTGTCTCGCTAGACGTTCAGAGATACCGTTCCAAAGCGATATTTCCGGCGCGACATCTCCGACCGCACGGCGATAGAGAGAAACAATGTTACTGTACCAAATGGTACAGCTCAGTCTCAAAGTCTCTCAAAGTCTCAAGGTCTCAAAGTCTCTCAAAGTCAAAAGTTACTATTCTTTAAGATCTGCTGTCCATGTATGCCCGTCTCTACCATTGCCCCTTCTCATCCGGTGCAAATAATAAGCCTTGTCGACACAAATTTTTGTGCAGCCCTTGGATGCTTAGATATATAATGCACCATGGGGATTCCCCATGGTGCATTATATATCTAATAGGATCTAGGCTGGAGCAGTTAACTAATGACGATCCTATTCTGCAATATTCGAGAGTTTGAAAAGTTTTAATTCAACTGCGAGACCCAGTATTTTTACCTGCCTTCGGGGTAAAAAATACGGTATTCTAAAATGCTGCCTTTTCTTTGTTCTCAAAAGTGATGTCAGACGATTTCAATACTAAAAAATTTTTAAAGTATTTTTTTTTTTTGTTATGACATGACAGGTCGTTATTAAGCTTGACACTAATACTGATTAATACGATTTTGTACATGACCAAGCAATTCTAATATTTTCCATCTATGGGAAACATTTTTAATCTATGGGAAAAATTCGTACAATATATAAATGAAACAAAATCTCAGTTCGAGTAACTGAATAGGACCAGACGAAACATTGGCTGACGAGAATTATATATCTGTGACTATGACCGAAAACATCGTCTGAGTGTTCAGCTACATTAAAACTCGGCTGAGAAAACTGAAAGCAATTGATGCGCCGAATAAAAATCTTCTACAGACATTTTTGTTCTCGTAACTGAGTTTTTCGTCTGATGACCTACAAGTAACAGAAAATTTAGTCACATTGACGGAATTGCTTTTTTCCGTGCATAGAGAAATAAAATTTTTAAAAATTATAAATATGAGCCACCACATCTCTCTGGAAAGCGTACTAATTTCATAAAATGTGACACGACCATCTTGTTATATGTTCACGACGACCAAATAATCAAGCTTGCGTTTTCCCGATCATAACGAGCATTTCGTTATGCATTATCACCTTTAGTTGAGTAAAATCTCGATAGGGATTTGCTCTCGAAGAACCGCAGAGACATCACTCTAATCGGAAGAAATTATCGCCTGTCACAGCGTATCCTTCTCGCACAGCCGAGATTTACACTCGGGGCGTTATTCAGCGGAGGATTCAGCACCCGAGGGGTGAAGAACCCTCTGCCCCCGAGAGCGTCGGCACCCTCCAAGCGGCCTCGAGGGTGGCGCCGCGGCGCGCGTTTTGGCCCCTCCCGAAACAAAACATATTGTCCGAATTTAATTGTGGACGGGGTGCATTAGATATTCATATGCTGCGTGTTCGGCGACGCGTGCGACAATGTGTGCGCCCGGGATCTTAGCACGTGCGAGTCCTGGTCGCGCCGAGGGAATAAATCTCCTCTGGGATAAACAGCTCTCGCGCCCTTGTGTCCTCGAGTTCGAACGACACTCTCGGTTAATTAGTCCAAGAGTAACGGAAACGACAAATGATTCGTGTCAGGTCGAATATTAAAGAGAAAACGTTTGACGCAATTTAGTATTGATCAAATTATTCGTCTCGGAAATAACGAAAATCCTGAATTGTTTAAAATTAATTATAACAAATATATTTTTGTGTATTGTCTCGTTATCTTTGTGACTCTAAAACGAGATGACATGCAAGTAATATTCTGCTGTAAACATTACATGGACCTGCGTTATTTCTGCATAATAATGTGTATATACATTTACGTACTTATAATATGTAATTTTTAATAATTGTGAGTAATATCGTTTTCGAAGTAATCGCGATTATACTTTTCCCAATGCGATTTTTTCTTTAATGTTGACCCACTTACGCACGGCAATTCAATATTTATTTAAATGACACACACTGTAAATACAGCGTAAGTTATTACTGTGATCCGATTCGGATTGTTATTATTTTATGGACAAAGTAGATAGGAAGAAAGTGTGGGGTTGGCAAATCAGCCACATTAGTGGCGAGGCAATATCCAAACTCGATCATCCCCTTCGACGAAACACCCTTATTGGCACTTGGGAATAAACAAGAGACGATCAATGGGCCATAAAGGATGGAATCGAGTGTGCGTATGGAAAATATAGCTCCATAAATATGCTCGCAATCGACGCCACTTCGCAACGGCGTTATTATCCTTTCGCCATTTCGCAGGATACGATCAATTCGAAATTGCGCTTTTTATACCCTTAAAGAATAACAAATCGTGGACGGTATTGGCACAATTATAACATAAATCACGAATTCTCCTGCGCTATTATGTTTGTGAACAATCACATGTTAATGTAACTTAGGGAAGAGAAATGTTTTACTCTCTGCGCTCAAAAGATGAGGGACTTTTTGGAAATCAGTAGCTTATGTATCAGTAGCGTGTCTATAAGATGAGTCACACCATATATAAAGGTGCCAATATAAAATACTTGTAAATATTTGGAAATTAATGTGTAAAGAGCTATCGATAATCAAGATGATATTGATATTTAGTGAGATCCCGGTTTCTATAACCGCCGTGCTTTTCTATAGTTATCTTTGATTTCTTGAGTAATAATTGCCTGCCAATTGGACCAATTTTAATCCCGATAACGATAATCGCGTATAATGAGGGAACGATTTCTGGACATTTCGAATGTCCAGAACTGACATGTCCATGAAACTTAGAATCTTAAATTCCAAGTGTTAAAAAAATTCATTAATCTTTATTAAATTTTAATAAATATATTAGCGTTTAAATATTCCCTTTCTCTTCTGCTTTCTAAAAAAAAATATTTTTATCACATCGGTCGTGAATTTCTTTGAATAACTTGACAGACTTTTTACGCAGCACGCTGCAATTTAGTTTACTAGATCAGAAATGAAAAGGGGCTTGTATCCAGCGATTCGCGACATAGTCACCCCCATTACTCCAAATACGACAATTAATGCGTTAAAAAGGCAGTTAAGAAGGAAGCGCTCGTGACCCAATCCGGCGGTTTAGCTTCCAACCTTTTCCACTCCAATTATTCCCGAAGGTGCGCGAAAGACGCCATTGCCGAGCGGTGCGCGGAGTGTAAAGGGTTAACTCGACGCGAAGAAAGCACCCTTGCCTTAGTGCCCCCGTCGTGAAAATTCCCTCCCTGCGGAATCCCGCAAAAAAAGAGCAAAACGGCGAGAGCTACTATTTTGTTGCGTTGTGAGACGAACACAATGTCCTACCAGAATAAATGCGAATACAGATCTGACGAAAGAAGGAGAGAAAAAGGAAAGCAGCAAAGGAAAGAGTGAGAGATCGTATGAAATAAAAGGAGGGGAAGTACAAGGTAGGGAAGTATGGTAGAGCGCGGTTGGTATCGAAGAGAAGTCGCTTTCTTATTTCTATTCTTAGCAGCGCGTTCTCTCGAATTCGAGTCGCGATACTAGCGCGCCCACCATTTCACTTGTCCCACCTTCTTCTTCATGGTCCTCCCTGCTCCCACTCCTCATGGGCTGGATCCATCTGCGATAAAAGTGGGGGTGGCAGTGGAATAGTTACCTGTGCATTCGCTTCTCTCTCTCTCTCTCTCTCTCTCTCTGTTTCTCTCTCCATCTTTCATCCTCTCCTTCTACATCTACCCTTTCGACAATTACTCTCGATTCAGCCTAGAGACGAACTAGCTAATTTAAAGATGAGGAACTTTTTGGAAATCAGTAGCTTATACATCAATAGCGTGTCTATAAGATAGGTCGCACCATACATAAAGGTGCCAATATAAAATATTTGTAAATATTTTGAAATTAATGTGTAAAGAGCTATCAAATATCAATAATCAAGATGATATTGATATTTAATGAAATCCCGGTTTCTATAACCGCCATGCTTTTCTATAGTTATCTTTGATTTCTTGAATAACAATTGCCTGCCAATTGGACCAATTTCAATCCCGGTAACGATAACCACGTATAATGAGGGGACGATTTCCGGACACTTCGATCATGATTATCCTTTGGCGAAAGACGTGCTCTCACGTCAAAAGAGAGCCTCATGCGGCGCGTAATCGCAAGACGCACCCTACCAGAGAAAGCAGGGGTACGTAAGCTGAAGTGAGACAGATCGAAGAACAGGCAACGTGCGTTAGAGAGGTACACGTAGCCTTTGCTGTCTCGTTATCGACAATTTTGCCACTGAGGCCAATCAGAATACCGAACGCGCCACCACCTCGCGATATGTCCGCCCCTAGTCGCGAACGATTGGATCATGAGGCGGTTGCCACGGCCACGATACAGCGGAGGGGATAAAATTGCTTTTGGACGTGACGAGGACTTACCCGTACCACTCCAGCCGACGACTCTTGCACTTCTAGAACTATCGTCCAAGAGGTAAGACTGAACGCGCGGGTCTCCGTCTACGTCGCGAGTTGCGACTCGCAAATCGGAGTCGATTTGGTGCGCGATCTCTCAGCATCAGCGAGATGAACTTGAACGCGGACGACAGCGTGTTACATGGAGGAGACAATACATGAGAGGACTGATAGAAGAACTGAGAACCGGAGTGTCGTGACAGTGAACCGAGAACCCTGATTGCAAATCATGTGCATGGCGAATTGAGCAGTGCAGTGAACCCCGACGTTGTCGCGTCTCTCTTGTGATTGTTTTTAAGCACGGCGCTTCGCGAGACGAAAGTCTCAACCACGGCAGCAAAATTGAGCTGGAGTTGCACCAACGAGCCGCCGGCCACTTTATGAGGTGAGTTCCCGGGGCAAAAAGAGCAAGGTAGATTTGAAGTGACACCGAAAAAGGGAAGATATTTGGGAAATGAAATATAATGAAAGTTCTGACATTTTGCCTTTAGGCAAGATTTGCTAATAAAAAATGTTATATAACAAATCTAAAATCATGTGTCAAAAAAGATTGTCCATTTATAAACTCGAAATTATAACTTTGTTGAAAAAAAAGGAAGTTGCGGAAGAAAAAAAATCGTTTCCAAATTTTAGACCATTTAAAACCAAAGTTTTAGCCTCACATTTGGTAATCAAGATCTACTTCTGGACTTTGTTCTGATAAGATTTTGATTTTAAATTGATAAGGATGGTAAGTCTCTAACCTGTCATTCTCACTTCAACCTAGCAAGAAATTTAGACTTTAACCTAACAGAACATGACAAAATTAGCTTAATTTCCCAAGTCACATGTTGACTGATAAGACACTTGCTCGTATTTGAATTTATTGAATCAAGTTGCAAGAAATGATGAAAGTTGTTGAAAAGATTAAAAAATATATCGCGCATGGACTGGACCAGAAATCGAACCCAGGATATGTTGACTGATAACATCAAAATAAAATCTTTTATTTTAATATCAAACTTGATTAGTTTATTTTTATATTTCGTTTTTAAATTTCTGTTAATATATAAATAAATAATATTGTTAAGAGAGTTTTTTTACAGAGCTTAATAGTCTCTTACATTTCTTTCAGTAATGAGACTATACTATAACTATTATACAATACTATACTAATAATTTTGCCACCAATACTTGTGTCACTCATTAAATTATGCCGATAAAAATTTGTTAAAATCAACTTTTTAAGAAAGCTCTGGAAGAAAAGATAAAAGAAAATATATCAAGCGTGATAAAACTCTGGGCCGGGAAATTTATCTGTTAATATAATAGTAAAACCAGAACTATATAAAGTTCTCTATAAGGTTCACACGTACAGCACTCAAGAAAATTAGTTTGAAAGTGTTGCCTACATAAATTAAAGTTTATGTAATTTGTCAGATGTGTGTTAAAAGTTATCTATCGCTTTAATTATAAATGATATAAGTAATGAACGATTTACTTGACAACAATGACGCTGACTATAAGTGGTTATCAATGACCGGCGCTACAATACTGACCCATCTTATTACTTCACGTATAAGGCGTTAATTACTTGCACCTATCAAGATAGATATACAACTAATAGAAAGCCAATAAAACGAGATAAAAACGCTTGTAAATTCCACCTGTTTATTAAATCTTCGGTTAAACTATCGAATATTCGATGAAAATCAACGAAATAGTGGACATCTTAATTCACAAGCAAGAGGTTTCAGTTAATGTCGAATAAGATACTTGCCGACGGATTATAAAGTTCCTCACAGTGATTCAAATATGTAAGCCAAAACATAGAAACCTAACATTCACGAACCTGAATTCACGAATACAATAGCATAGATTGCATTCAAGTTTGCCTTGATTGCACACGGAACAAGCCCTCGCGTAACGAATTTGACATTATTCATCGCAACCAGAAAATCCGCCCCGTCGGAACGGGGCGATATAATGAACTCTTTCTATTTATAAGTAACACCTAACACATATTCACGAACAAAATCTCTGTCAATCGAAACAGGCAATAAATTGCGGCTCGCCCCGTATCCTTCGGCTTTTCCCGCGAACCGCGCCTAAACATTCAATTAGCACTTCCTAATCCCCCGTCGCTCGTTGTCAACAGCCATTACTTCCAGCATCTTCTCGATCCTGGTAAGCTACCCTCCAGGAGAAAGATAGAAAGACGGAGAGAAAGAGAGAGACAGAGAGAGAGAGGAGGGTACTCCCAGAGAACACCCCAAACACCGCGAAACGATGATGACGGGGTGGTTGTTCCACCCCTTGCAACTTCGCCTAACCGACGTATCTATTAATCTGCGCTGAATGACACTCGAGGGTGGCACTCGCTCTCTCTCTCTCTCGTTTCCCCTTTCCTCCCTCACCGTGTGTATAGGGACGGTGATCCTAACCCTACAAAATCTTAACTACTACCCCCCTCTCTCTATTGCTCCCGCCACCCCCTACTCATCGAGTCTCCCCCAGACCACTACAGGTTTTTTTTTAACGAACGCTCAAGGAGATTCAGTGCGGTAATTGTGTTAGTTCGAGAAGCTAGGGCTGTCGGAGCGAGAAGGAGAGAGAGCGCGAGAGGAGAGAAAAGAAGAGGGAGGGAAGTGAGTCGTTTGGCGCACCCTTTGGCCGCGGGGATGACGTTTAGAGTAAAGGATGAAGAACGAGACAGCGCGCGGAACGTGCCGAGATTGGTTAATGGCTTTGATACGAAGAAAAGGATAAGATCAATTTGCTTATGAATCGGAGGGCAAACGAATAAGCAATTATGTAGCGCTGCTGGCGCGAGGAGAGCTCCACTCTCTTCCTTTCTCAACTCGTTAGACCCCGACCGCATGCACAAGGCCTTTACGAATGATACAGTTGCGATCTATCGATAAAATATTGCTAACTCCCGTGATACAATACAAGAGAAAGCTAAGAAAATAAGGAGGTTATACTTGTGTGTATAAATGTTAACATAATGATCGTTATATCTAACAAGCATACACCGTCACTTAAAATATCAGAGAATTTAATTGAAAAAAAGTGAACAGCTCAGAAAATTTAAGTATCATTTCATGTGTAATCTTATTACAATAATCATTAATCAATATAACACCGTTACTTACAAGATATAACGACACATTGCAAAATTGCTAGATATATATTGCTAACAAGCTATTTTTATAGAAAATAACTCGTACGTAACGTTTCAAACAATTACTCCTTAAAACTAAAACGTTGAATTCATTAATTGCGCAGATATTACACATGTAACGCAACAAAAACAGAATAGCTAACACGGGTCCACAGCGAACAAGTTAGGATGAGAATAGAGAATATTCCACTAAGTACCAAAATATTAGAAAATAAGTTAAGAAATGAATAAATTAACTTAACTGTCTGACGAATTGTCTGCTAATATTGATCAGCCACACAATATTACATGTCAAAATGCCCAGCGGGATATCCTAACGGGACATTTACTATTAAGCTAAAGGGCCTGCAGGTCATTTTTAGAGACCATATAACAAAGGGCACTCGATGACAAGTTCTCTTTACCTTTCTGACACCTTCATCCCTTACGATTTATACGTGACCAATTTTGAGTTGACGATCAATCGGACGACGTTTGCTAAACGATAAACTGTCTTAACTTACAGAGCCGGCGGCAACATGTGCGACGGCTCCTTTACGGAAACCTTGCGCACCATGCAGGGTATGACGGGAACGTCGCCAACGGCCGGTGCCGGCGTCGGTCCTATGGGGGTCGGCCTCGGTAGTCCTCTCGGCCCAGCAGGCAAGAAAGTACAAGCGGAACACATCAAACGACCGATGAACGCATTCATGGTCTGGTCACGGCTGCAGCGACGGAAGATCGCACAAGAGAACCCTAAGATGCATAACAGCGAGATTTCCAAGAGGCTTGGTAAGTGATCATCGCAAGTCGACGAACGCGCGCGGGATATGTGTGAGACGGCAATGCGTGATACTCTTCCTACACTGTCGAAGTTTGGAAAATGATATGAGTCTGTTAAACAAAAAATCTCAACAACATGACGAATGCTAAATCTATCGTTCTGTAAAAGACAGAGCCCAATGAAGGGTGGTTTCAAGGGAGCTCAATGTAACATGAGAAGCATGTCCGATAAACGATCGAGACTATCGTCTTGTCATGATGTATTTTTCGTCCCTTTCTTTACAAACGACTTCGTGCACACATCCGCGTGATTTAGCGCCGACGGAACACGACACGAAGATATTCCGCCTAGTATTTCCGTTAAATACCCTAGTCGACAAAGGACCTTCCGCAACTCCCTCGAGCTCTTTTATCCGTCATTTTCTTCCTCGCCTCGCTCCGTCTATCCCCCATTTTTCGTTTCCCCGGCGACGACGAATAAGGGAAGCGTCTCCTCCTCCTCATCCTCCTCCACCTCTTCGTCCTCCACCTTCTCCTCCTTCTCAGTAAAAATGATGCGCACGCTCAAACCTTCAACGTACCACCCCTTTTCTATTTCCCATCCCTCTCTCTCTCTCTCTCTCTCTCTCTCTCTCTCTCTTTCTTTCTCTCTCTCTCCCCATAGCCACCCTTATTCTCCCCACACTTCTTCCTTCACGTTTCCTCTTTTGTCGGCGCGACACTTTTCCGTCGCTCTTTCGCCGTCAAGCATATTTCTAGATCATACACATTCAAACTCGTCGCGACATTCACAAATTTTGTCCGTTTCCTCCTCTTACGCGAAACTCCTTCGCGAAATGACGAGGGAGTGCGAGCGCGTGCCCTCTACCTAGCGGTAGGAATTTAGCGGACGCGGAGCGCACGGAATGTCAAATTTTGCTTTCCTTCAAGTGGTAAGATAACCAGAGCGAAAGTTTACGATGTAATTGGATAAGTAGTAGAAATTTCAAAAAAATCGCGAGAGAAGTGTATCAACACAATATAATAAAGATATTTGCAAAAGATTTCTCGCGAAAAGTATAATTCTAAATCTATTTTGAGATAATCTTGAATTTTCTGAACTTTCTCTAATCTTTTAACTGGCCGATCTTTACATATTTTTATATATTTTTAGAACTTTGACATTTTTCAGTTTCACGATCTTTATAATTTCATATTCCAAAAGATCTTCGAAATTTATCTCAAATTGAAACTAGCGTTTGGAACTTAATGTTTCGTCCAGCAGTTTTATTATCGGTTACGAAAACCTGACTGAACACTTTCCTTGTCGAGATAAACATTTCGCGCCTTGCCATTAACGCAAACGAGTGGAATAATTCCGGCTCGAGAGTGTGTGATAAAACAGCCTTCGATTTTATTGCATCAATTAGTAGATGGCGACCCGCGCATTTATCTTCCGGTCCGGCAATTCGCCACGTTTCACGACACCCGGAGGATGCTTAGAGACGTATCCTGAAGGAAGGTAATCGCGAGATGAGAGGCGAGAGTTCTTTAAAGTGAGTGCTCTGTCGGCTTAGAGCTAATCTAGTTATTGGACCTCGCTGTAACGTTCCCGTTGTGCAAGTTGCTTGTCCAAGCCTTGCGCCTTACCCTTTCGTCTTCGAGGGTCCACTCGAGCAAATGGCTCGACCGTTTTGAAAGTGATGGCAATTCTGAACGAGACATCACCACACAATGGAGGTGATATACAAGTAACCAATGAGATCAAGTAAAAACTTAATAAAATTATACCACGAAACTCAAATCGAAAACGTGCTACTAAATTTTTAATAGTAAATGTATAATGAAAATGTCACACAAAGATTATCGAAAAAACGAATTATCATATACCAGAGTTTAAAAAAAAAATTATTGTAGCTTTTCAATTTAAAAAACTTAGAAACAAAAGTTTTACTCGATTTATCCTTCAACAATCAATCGATTTTTCTGACATAATGTTAATCCTGCAGCATCGATTACAATGACATTTCACCCCGATCCCAATCCACCTTTCTACAACTACCCCCTGCACAATGTTGCGACATAAAAACGCATGCACGCATACGGTGCAAACACCCCCGAGAGAGGAATTCACAAAGAGAGCGAAACGAGAGAGGAATGGAGAGTGTATAAACACACGACAGGGTGGCGAGGGTGAGTTTGAAGAAGAAGAGACTCGGGAGAAGCTTTCATCGTAATGAAGTATTTCTGCCGCTTGCTGGAACCTTGGAGAGGAGGCACCAACTTCTTTCAAACGCGTTAAAGGGACGACTTGTCGGTTTCGCAAACATCCCTACGTGGAGGATCCAAAAAAGGATACAGGATTGCCTATCCTGTGCTCTTCGAAAATTATTCAACGCTATCCCGACTGTTCAACTCTCGTGGCGAACATAGTCTCTTGAGTACACGACGCTATCCGCAAATTCAGACAATAATTGTTCGCATTATTTTCAATCAACAATGCGAAGATCGAAAAGAGAATAAATAATTATATGATCATGGTCGATGGAGAACTCGTGTTATCGCTCAATCTTACCTAATCGAATCTCTCACGAAAGTGATTTCGACAGCGTTCAGTCCAAGGAGCTCCGTGGACTCGTAGGACTCGCGAGAAAAGGAATAATTCGCGGAGAACCCTGACGCTACGCTTACCTATAGAATCGCGAAGACAATGACGTCGGATGCGACAAAGGCGGTGTACAAAACGCGTGTAAGTACACGTACGTGCATCCTTGTCTTCTCCTTCCCTCCCTCGTTCGCCCCCATAGCCGTGTGCGCGTGATTAAAAATGATCGTTCCCGAGCGAGCTTAAAGCTTCCACCCCCTTAAAAGCTCTCACTACTTTGAGCCGCCCACCGGTCGCTCTTTGTGTTACAAAGAGCGGAATTCTCTGCTCCACTTCAAGACTTATGAGTGAAACCTGTTTTCTCCGTGAATTCTACGACAAGCTGCGCGCAGAAAAGATTAGGAAAGATTGAGGAGACGCGGCAACACAGTCGCGAGATTTTCCTATAATATTTGCCGATTCAAGATTTCAAGATGCTAATCCATTACTTCAGTGCGTGCTTCTTGAGACGTCTCGTGAGATAATCCGAACAAAACAAGACAATGATGTTCTGTTATGATATTCGATGTTTAATGAAGAAACGATGTCGGGTTGAGGTTGTAGCGCAAAATAATCGTACATTAAATGTAGGTATTTTGTCGTAAGATACTCGTTAGTAAAATCACTACACTGGGTTTATGTCTGCCATGAAGAGAAGGCGAGACTGCGCTGCCGCGAAAAAGGCCTTGAATCAGCTGTAACGAATAATACGTGCGCCTTCAAGGCATCTTCTTAATTGGCACGATACGACGCCGGTAACGAGAATAACGGCACCATTGTCTCGCGTCGTAAGAAAAGGTAAACGCTATTAGCGTGGCACGCGAGGAGGACTCGAGATGGGATTTCCTTTTAACTTTGTCGCTTTATTTAACAACGTAATTATACTGCACGCTGCCAGCAAATGAATGTATTTAATGAAATCTCGCGCTATTGTCGAACACACGACACGCTTGTCTGATGAAAAATGTCTTTCCAACAAACACGAGACCCGCGCGCGTGGACTATCATTTAATTGTGTAAAGGCACGCGCGCTCGCGGCATTTTAATAATTTATAATAAATATCCGAGACACAAAAGGATATCCACAATCGAGTTCGTGAATCGTGGCGTTGAAGATTCTTCTTGGTATTAAATAAAATTCAAACATGTGCAATAATTCAGAATCTTTGTATGCGCTTCTCTCTTGCGACTTATAGAGTGATATTTTATATAAAATATGTCGTTGTATGACACATTCTTGATACTTTACCGCATAATGTATGTTGTTTCTATGCAAAGACATTTTTTAAGTATAGATACCATGACAGATACTAATCGGTCTGGTCGAACTCGTTCACTCGCTATAGGTTTCAGGTCGGCCGTGTATTTTTAACACCTGACGTATTTTCTCACGTAATCCCGACGACGCAAGGTCGATTTCGGTGCTCCAAGTCGCCAAGCCCTCCCCTCTGCGCCCCGCAGGAAATGCAGGAAACGTTTTCCAATTTCCGCGTTTCATCGTCCAGGATAAGTCCGGTGGGGAAGAGTTGGAGGGGAAGGCCGATCGATCGGCGGTGCAGTAGCTGCATCGCCACCCCTTCGTCTCGCCATCTTCTGTTCCCGCGTGTACCTCGAATGGCATTTTTTTCTTTCTCCGAAAGCCGCCACTTACGCGAGCTGTCAAGTCGAATTACCAAAAACGTTGGAGTTTCTCCGTTCCCGCGAATGAAATAATAAACTAAACCCTACCAGAACGACTATAGCCAATCGACGTTATTCTTTATCGGCCACCTTCATCGACGTCGGTCGTGTCGTAGGAACGAGAGCGACGTCACGGCCACGCCGCCGTCCTTTTCTTTCTCGCCCGCTTCTTCTCTTTATCTTCTCTCCACCGCCCCCGTCCATTAATTAACAGGCTTTGTACTTTTAAACGATGTTAAATAAACGGCATTGTCCGCCGGCGAAAGGACTGAAAAGCAGGCGCCATTGTGCTTTAAGCTCGCTCCTCGTCCTCGTCGTCCTCGTCGTCCTCGTCGTCGTCGTCGTCGTCGTCGTTCTCTACGTCGTTGTCGTCATCGTCGTCGGTCCCAGAAAGAAGGAAAGAGAGGACGAAGGAGTATTGCCCGCGAATGCCAACCTACTAATACCATCAGTACCGGGAAGCCTTTGTTCTAAACAAATACGCCGAACCCCGCCGCCTCCGCCACCTTTCACCATTCGTCGCTCTCTCTCTCTCTCTCTCTCTCTCTTTCCCTCTCTCTTCCTTGTTCGACTGTGCCACCTGCCTTTCAGACGGGAAAACGTGTATCGATTGGATAAGCCGTAATATAAATAGAAAGGAGAACTATCCCTCTCGCGCGACCGGAAGTTACCTTGATTTTATGATTTCGACAACGAATTTACACGGTTGATGATAGTTTTGAATGTATTATTCAAGGCAAAGTAATAATCAATGATTAATTTTAATCATTCTGTCTGAAGCTTTGTCTGATGACGGAATCCCGCGCAATATTTCATTCTCCTCAAAAAACACTTGGATCTCTAGAAGATTATCTCAAAGAAAAAATTAGTTGGCAAGAACTTTCTTAAAACATAGAATATCACCGCAAGCATCTATCTATGTACTCAAATACTATCTATCCTCTTTCTGAATAATTAATTTATAACTTATAACTTAGGTATTTCTTATCTTATTGTATTGTACTGTATTCCAAGAAATCTCCAAAAAAGTGAAATAAGGGAACTCTGAATCTGTAGGAACCCTCAGTGCACTTTTGTATTTCATGAACTCACGGAAAATTTTAATTATTAAGAGTCTGGTGTCAAACGTTATCAACATACTATTATCTCGAAAGCCACGATTCTGGAATTTTCATTTGGACATTTGCCGATACTTTCCTCCGAGGTTCACCGTGCGCCCTCACATGCCTGTATTATCAGCCGACATGCTCTGTTGTTGCTGTCGATAATCACAAGCCAGCAACAAGAATAGAAAAAACATTCTTCCCCTGATATATGTTTTAAGATTCTACTTAATTTTATCTAAATTTTATTTTCTGTTAAATTTTTTTTCTTTCACTTTTTTCTTTTTCACCTTATGATCTTATCCATCACAAATTTTTATCCTCCACGAGCAGAACTCGTATTTTGCCAATGGTTTGGAATATTACTTTACTTTCTCTCCTTTCTCCGAGAGATTTTTTCGCTCCCGACGGCATCAGGCAATCCTGGTCAAGTTGTACAAAAGGAAAAGAAAGAATCGAAAGATATTAAAGCTCCTTATGTGAAACTCGGAGAGCGCGAAAGAGTAACTACCGGTGACTTCGCGACTAGTTTGTCTCGTGTAATCTTGAGTCATGCGTTCAAATTGAGATATCTTGCTTATACTTGACAACGGAAACAAAAATAAATCTTCATCAGCAAAAGTACTCTCTCTCTTTCTTTTCTGATAAGAGATCCAAAGAAGTTAGGTCGAAATATGTTTCAAAATGTTTCTAAGAAGATATTCCACATTTAATCTCGGCTGTATCTTTTTCGGGCTTTTTGGGAATTCTCCCGATTTCTCATATAACAAAGTTTCGCCGACCGAATTCTCGGTAAAATCTCCAGTCCGTAAACAGCTGCAAGCTTTGCAGCGCGTCGCGACGTCGATGTCTCGTCGTGGCGGCCATTGTTGGCGACGTCGCGGTGCAACCCCGAGCGTATTGTTCCGCCGTTGCATCAACCTCGGCGTCGGCGTTGGTGTCGCACCTCGCTACCAGCGGATTCCGTTTCCAGGATGCCAGAGCCGGGGCTTTGCGCTTTGTGTGCGCCTCAGCGACGGTCGACAACAAGTGGTAATTAATTCTGCGCAAAACAATCAGCCCGCCTGCTAGGCGGGGACGCAAGGGAACAGCGAAGGGGTTAAAAACGTTCCACGATTCGTTCTCCCCCTCATCGAACGGAATCCTTCCGTAGATATTTTTTCAAAATCCTAAATCTTCATCGTGGAGGCATATTCTACCGCATAGAATATGTAAAATACACAAAAAATTCGATATATGATAATTAATTGACCAAATAATCATATTTTATAATCCCGACATTATATTAGACATCTTAAGGAATTATACTTCAATTTCTCTATCCTTCAATTTTTATTTTCTTTTCCTTCTGTTTAAATTATCACAATTTCCCAACAGCTAAAAAGTAATCCCCAAAATGCAACAAAGTACAAGGTATTAAACTGTTGACGATACAAAATACTGTACCGTGCTAACACAAGATATGATCTCTCAATTTTTAGAATGTGAGGATAATATACACGTGTCTTTTCACTCTTAAATATTTGTCTCCCAAATTGCCGGCAGTTCTCAAATATTGATACTATCGAAAACGTGTTAATCACTGTTTAATCACATTAATAGAGATAATTGTGGGAAATGGCTGGATGTAGTATTGAACAAATTATTCCAGGCGACTATATTCGAATGCACGAATTTAGAATACGGTATTTACAGAACGATCGATGCTTCTATCCAAACAATTCGCCAATACCCGTCGACAGAAAATGCACTTCTATTGCGATATCAAGAGAGAGATTCCATAAAATAACTAGACAGAAAGAGACCTCGACGCGACTGCTCTTATTCGGAAATGAATTGCGAAGATATCACGAAATGATAAAAGAAAAGAAAAAAGAAAGAGTTTTCGCCTGTTATATGTCTCACTCGAATAATATGTACCGTTGCGGTATGCCTTATTGTTAATCAAAATATTGGAATTTATTTTTGCAGGTGCGGAATGGAAACTCCTCTCGGAGGAGCAAAAACGTCCCTTTATCGACCAAGCGAAGAGGTTACGTGCTCAACACATGAAGGAACACCCGGATTACAAATACAGACCAAGAAGAAAACCCAAAACCTTGCGCAAGGAAGGCTATCCGTACAGTATTCCATACCCGAGTGTGCCCATGGACGCCCTCCGAGCAGGTAATTAGCCTAATTATCACCTGCCAAATGATTATCACCTGCCAATGATTATTATTTTCGATACGCGTCATCCAGCAACGGCGAGAATAACGAGGCTCGAAAACACTTACTCTTAAGCGACAATCACGCAACATGTTCACATAACGAGTGGCATCGTAACATTATTACGGATTTATAAAAAAATTTCTTTTTGTTGACACATAATAAAAAAGTTGCATAAAATAACACACAACTGCACCACGACTATGTATCCGCGACTAAATATCGTATTGCAGATGCACTCAGTATTATCCGTCGTGACAACGGACAAATGAGTATAATAATTCAGCCCAAAGAAAATTTATTCAGAGAAGATGCGGCTTGAAATCAAGTCGTCGAATATATTCGGCACTCGGCTACATATTTGTGAGCGCTCGGTAGTCATCAATCACCGGTGATCTTACCGGAAACCTTATAAGGAATGGTTGCCTTGAAAGAAACTATCGATTTGAAAAATCAGTATAATATAAAGATACTGTGAAGAAATTAATTTTTAGACAGTGAGCGCATTATCCGTTGACCACTTAGTGATCGACGGTCCAAACTTACAGATTCACGATTTCTTTTTTGTAAAAAGTGTCTTGTATATATATTTAATTAGCAATATGTCAACGCCATTCTTCACGTGATAATATTTATTATGTTCGCCAGTTTAATGTAACTTGTCCCTCTTCTCCTCAAAGAAAAAAAAAGGAAAAATGATTCATCATTTTTAAACACGTGAAAGGTTAGTTTTTCATTGCCGTTGCCCTTGTTTGCTATTTCCCACATCTACTTTTCTACCGGCGGTTTCGACGAGGGTCACCTCGTTGCACCGCAATGCAACGAAGTGGCGCGTGGAGGTGTTGTTGCAAATATTGCACCTCCCGCAATTGCGTAAACACTCGTGCCGAACACTTGCGCCTTCGTTGACATCACGTCTGGTTAGTTTATTGTGACAATTGAGCGAGCATAATGGAACCGAGCGCGCGTGCAAAAGCGGCAAGAACACAGAAAATGCACGGCGCGCTGCCAATTTGTTTAATTAATACGAGATGCAGACGCGCGAAATGCATTATGCGTGACGAACGCAGCGATTTGGAATTTAACAATTATTACATTCTTTCGGTAGCGCTTCAACAAAGACCGCGCGCGGTAGCGTTATCAGCATTACATAATAATACGCGCGTATTTTTCACGTAAACAAATCCGCCACCCATTTATTTATTTATTACCCGAATGTGTATGAATAATTACATTGTTAAAAGTAACGAGTGCATACGCAACGTGTTTTACAAATGTCGCGCGCTTGTTTCGAGCATGGATTGTTCGACCAATTCCGAATTAGAGTACATCCTATATCGCAATTATTTGAAGCAGTTCATCGCGGTGCCGGTATTAATTAATCGTTTAAATGAAATCACAGAGAGAGACAGAGTTGCCGTTAATTTATCGCTTATAAATTATACCCATAATTTTCTTTTATTGCACATTTAATTTTCCATTGCGCGCTGGTGTAACTTAGACGACGACGCTGCTGCCGGCGTTTAACGCAAATTTGAGGGAATGTGTCCGCGGTAAGACGCTAATGATATGCTTTCACCGTCGCGCGATTTTCTCGCGGTTTGTCACATCTTTAGCGTGACAAAGACGACATTTGAAAGTTCGTTCTGCGAACACTACGTGGCCGCGTCTGCCCTGTAATTCATCGTCCTGTAATTCGCGTCCGCGTAGGCGAGTTTGCGGATATCCGTCAAGAGCGCGTTCTCCCACTCGAGAAATTATTAATTCCGGCAATGGTGATGTGGCGATTGAGACTGGAATTTATCCCGACGCCCACGTGACCTCCCCGCGAAAAGTAGCAATCGGTAATCTTCGATTTATCGGATGCAGAAACTATTCTGCTCCCGTTTATACCTCTCCTCTGTGTTACCACCACCTCTCCTTTCACAAACGCCCTTTCCCGCCTCTCTGCACGTTTCTATTCAAGCTTGAATTGAGATTCCTGCGCAGTTTAGATAGCCAAGAGCGAGAAACATATTTATGATAACGTAAAATCAAAGTGTCAAAGAAATAATAATTCACTCTGCGTGATTTATATAATTTATGAAAATATATATATGTATATTTTATTTTTCACAAAAGGATAATCTTCAAAATACGCGATGAGGAAACAAATTTTTTTAAGAAAAAAAATTAGAAAATTAAAAAATAGAAAAGTTAGAAAAAAATTAGAAAATTTTATTATCACAAATAATAGTTCTATTTATGGCAGTTCAGTATAGATTTGTTCGCTAAAGTGCCGTTTGTCGCATTGTATTGGTCCTTTCTGTAAATTTTGTACAAAAGAAGGTGTTTCCCGCTCCTTTGTTCCCTTTAAAAATACCGCAAACTATCCCAAAGTATAAAAGGTGTTTCCTTTTTCTCCGCAGGTCGTCTAGTAGTTTTTTCTTTCGTCTCTTTTGACCGTTTCCGACCACCTTTCGACCGAGCTTACACGGTGGCACGCGCATGAGACAAGCGCGTGGGTGGTTGGGATAAATTACCGTCTTACGCTGGAATCCCGACTCGAATTTCCGCTCCTGCATACGACTGGTCGTTCCCTAAAGATGAGAATTAAGGACGAACCTTAACCGGAAATTCGTTCCCTCGGACAACGCGCGAAACTGCTAATTCTCATGTTAATTCGTAATCCCCCGCGCGATCATGGCTTACTACATTCGCACGGCTGATGTTGATTTGGTGCACTAAAAGTCTACTTACATCGTAATCCCGTAATTCATGAAAAGAAGTCGAATTAACATGGTTGACAGAATAAATAAATGCTTGTTCCGTTTGACAAATCGTTCCCGTGGCAAAATTCGAGCGTATTCGTCGAAATCACAATGTCGCGAAGCAAAAGCGGCGAAGCATTCTCTAAGACCCGTGTAACTTTTTATGCAATAATACCGACAATTAAGTCCACCGTCCACTCGAGCACGCACAAGCGAAATCATGAGGGGTACGCGAAGGGAAGGAAACGGGAAGCGCGTATCCCTCCGAATCTTATAAATTATCACCGAGTAAACATACCCCGGGGGTGTATGTTCCCTCTTCTTTTTTTTTTTAACGAATGACGGATTTACGATCGCGAGTATCCGTGGAGTCACGTGTTCTTGGCCTGCGGGCGTGACCACCGAGTCGCGGACTTTCGCATAATGCCGCGGGAGCTTAAGACAATTCGATAAATAATGAGCCAGCGACATGTTTATGCGCTCGCGTGCGTGAGTCCAATGAATCCTCGAACGAACACGGCCTGCAAAGTACGGCCCTGCCGCGCCGAAGGGAATTATTCGACGATTTATTCCAACGTTGCCCCGTCTCTCTTTGCCCTTACGTCCCCGAGAGATATCAGATCGATTTTGCGCGATAAAGCGTGCGCGAATTGAAATTGAAATTTTCTAGAATACATGAACATCGATAGACGATCGGATCGAAGTTTTTAATGCGACTGAGTGTAGTGTCGCAGATTACGTCAAATTCTCTGCTTAGCTTTGGAATTCAAAGTCAACGTTGTCGTGTTACGAAGTTGAGAAAAATTAGCGTGTGACGCTTTTAACGCGAGGAAAACGTCGAATAACGCTCGGGAATCCGCGTATGAATGGATGTGCAAGAACACATATACTGCAATAATTAATATATTTCCCTCTATGAAGGACGTGAAAATAAGGATCACACGCCGTATGTACAGCGACATGTATCCGCTGAATGTACAGCGATATGTAGCACGTTGAAGACTGCGCGACCATACGAACTGGCGAGTTTCGAAACACGAAAAGCGAGGTTTGCCGAGCAGAGAAAACGACGTCGCACGGTGGAATCTTTTGTGTTTGCGTTTGAATTATAATGCGACAACTTGCGACACACATGCACACACACACACACACACACACACACACAACACGGTCACGACGCGCGTAAAATATTTAGACTTAGTAACCACGTTGTGTCTCTCGCGCCTTCGTCCGGCACGGAAATTCAAAATTACGTAATCCGGTACGAGACGCGACACAATGAAAACAATAGCGACCCAGGAACGGCAAACAAATCTCTGCAAACCGAGGGGACTCGTGCGTACCAGGCTCGATTCATCGAACATCTGTTCGCGAAATTCTGCCAGCGAGGCGAAACAGATAAGTCAAAATCGACAGATGCCGTAAACAAAACATCTGATTAACGCTTTTAATCAAAAAGATAAATTTAGAAAGAAGAAATCCGATTGAATGCTTCGATTGAAACTGCTATAAAAATAATCACTTACTCTTTCTCAAATTAAAATTAGTCGTTATCTCTCATCTTATTCGTCGTTAAATTTAACTGAATCCGATATGAAAACTTGAAATATACTACACTGAGGGAAAAATATCTAAGAAATAGTAAATGTTTATTCAGGAGGTATACTAATGACATATTTACTTATATACTAATATGAAATATTTTTTTAAATAAGGAAATATACATTTTCTTAAAACTTGAAAAAAATCTTAGTTCTCCATAAAAAAAGCAATTATTTATTCAATTTAAATAAAAAAATTTAGATCAAAGTAAACATTAGTATGCACCCGCCACAAATATAAATATTTATTATTTTTTAAATATTTTTTCTCCCAGTGTACTTATCAGATGACATATTCGTATCGCTCGAAATCTATGATCGCAATATAATGTTTTCATGTTCGAAATACGACGAATCGAGAGTCCCGACGGGAACTTTACACGATTATCTCGCGCCCACACGCTAGAGCTCGACAATCGAGCCGCATCTCAATCCTCAATATGCCCATCTCGCCTTTGGCGATCTTCAGGCATCATCGGCGATCATAAATCTCAAGGAACTCAACGCCAATCATCCTCCTTCGGGTTAGGCTCGCTGGAATGAGGCGCATGAGCGACGTCTCCTGGTCGCTATCGTCGTCCCTCGACAATGGAGCTTCGTCGAAGGCTTTGTCGATGATCGATAAGCCACCAGGTACACGCTCTCGCGTCCTCTTTCCTTCCTCCTTTCTAAGCGAACGGCAAAACGTGCAAAACGGTAAAAAGAGAAGGGACATACTCCTGTTAGAAGCGGAGATATCAATCTCCATCGAAAATGGCCCATGATCATTACCCGCCATTGTTGAGCCTCGAAAAGAAGCGCTCGAAAAGAGCGGGGATTTTTATTCTAGGACAAGAGTGATCGCACGTCATTCGTTAAACGCCCACACCTGTCTTTTATCTTGACTCCCGGTGATATCGCGAGTTCGCAAGTGCGATTACCAAACGTCTTAAATCACCCCGTGTACGGCACGCGCGTCGAAATACACACGCGAATGAATACCAGACAGTATTTTCAATACTGGTGGCGTATCCTCTTTAAAAGCGCCCGGCATACCGTCGTAATTTAACACGCAGGTCGCGTGGCGAACGGTTAACCCCTAGGAATAGCTGCCACCACCCCTCCGACAGCGAAACGTCGCGTATCTCGCGTATCAATTGTTAGCGCACAAACCCCGCGCGAATAACAAACGATCGCGGCGCAATTCGTCGTCTTCGCCCTTGCGCAAGCGCGACTCGCTAATTAATACGTCGCGCCATTAATAGGCGACGCGCCCACAAATTGCCGACGTCTTATTTACGAATGCTCGTGTGTGTTGTTGTAATATTACAGGGATGGCCGGTAGCATGGGACAGGCAGGGATGGGTTCCTATTACAGCCCTGCGGCGGCTTACGGCCCCCTCTCGGCGGCCAGCATGGCTGCGGCTGCGGCAGCGGCTGCACAACAATCGGCTGCCGCCATGTCCGCCGGTCTCGGGGCACCTGCTCAAGTAAGTCGATATTTCTTTCGTGCGAGTGATATGTACGCGACGACAAGTACACCGCATCTAGAGACAACACTGCGTCGTTTCCCGGGCACACTGTGGACACACCCGGTGAACGACCGCTCGATCCTTGTAGTCTGAAAAGACCTGACGACTCTTGCAATGACCATCCGTCCCGTAGTCCGAAGTATAATTGCAACTATTATACGATACTATACTAATAATTTTGCCATAAGGACGGATGTAACGGCTACTAAATTTGTTAAAAGCAACTTTTTAAGAAAGCTCTGGAAGAAGAGATAAGAGAAAATATATCAAGTGTGACAAGACTCTGGGCCGGGAATCGAACCCGGAACCTTTCGCTATCCGTGCGACTGCTATTATAATTGCAACGTTCGATATTTTCTATCGAGATGCACATTATTGCAGAAAATGCAGCTCTATTACTTCGTACAATCACGGTGTCGAGTGCAATGCACAAGTTTGGTTCCACAAGATAAACAGGTGCACGCAAATTGTGTCGAGATATGAGACACGAATGATGCCGACTGCATTCGCTTGAGGCCCTTGGGGGATGAAAAATACAAACGAATATCCTTTCAAGATGAAAGCAACGACGAGGCAAGAACGTGTGGATTACGCAGGAATGAGCGGGATCTTTTCTGTTAAGAGAAAAGATAATTTTTCTCAAAAGATATCGAGCCCTACGGGAATAATTTGACTTCACGTGGACATCTAATTGGATTGAAATGTGAAACCTCCCGAGCGAATCGAATTAATGATTCGTCTTTGTAGAGATATTTCTATTTCTATAGTAACGTTAACTCACAGCCGGCATTTTACCGCGCCACAAAGTCACAATCACAAATCCATTTATCTCGAAGACAATTGGCGACTGGACATATCGAGTCCGCGAGACAGATCGTCGGCCGCGTAAATAAAGCAAAAGGAGGAGAAAAAGCGGAGATGGATCGCGCGCGCAAGAGGAAGAGTCGATTCTGGAAGGAGGAGGAAGAGGAAGGATGAGGGAGGAAGCGGAAGGTAGCGGGAGGAAGGGAGAGAGAAAGGGAGGGAGGATGAGTGTAGGTACGTTTCATTCGTTGTTGCAACAAAGGGGCCCCCGGGTGGCTTCGCAAACAGAAACCGGAGACCGTGGTCTGTATATGAATTTCCGCAGCTGGCTACGGGAGACAAACAGATAGCTAGTTATTTCTGCATTCAACGGCTGAATGGCCGACGCGTCTGGAACGACGCACCGGCGCGATACAAGCGACCATTATTGGTGAACACCGGCGGCGAACGGCACGCTTGAAGAATTTCAACGTTATCTTCGCCTAGCCGAGCTCGAATTCTTCCTCTCCCCCTGGCTCAACGTCACCGAGAACACTATGACCGCGAAGTCTTGACGAAAAGAGTCATGCGATCAATCCTTACACGGCTAGATGATGAAGGAAAATTTCGAGAACAACAGAAGAAAGGATATTTTTTGTAAGAATTCTCCTCTCACAAGTCAGGTGAAGACAAGTATGAAGTGACGACAGTTCTTTCAAGGAGAACCAAATTCAACAGTGACTACAAACTCGAAAGAATATAATCAACCTTCTCAATGAAACTGAAGGTAAAAAAGAAAATGAGCAACTGACTTGGGAACCAATTATATCACAATTAAGCACACTTTGATTTGATCGCAATAATTATCACATCCTTGTTCAATTTACGTCACAGCCAATGCTACAGAAAAGGAGAAAGTCTTGCTAAATTGCAGCAAGAGTTAAAGCGATCTTGCCGAATTTCATCATGACCAATTTCTAAGAAAGAAAATTAATTACACACCCTTCCATGTGTAGACGAGTTAACACACAGATAGAGATTACATTTCGTCAACGCTCTAGCGAACGTATCCTCCGAAAGATACCGAGTTCTTACGAAATGTTGAAGCGGCTGAAATATCGAGGGCTGTGACACAATGCCACAATGTGAGGGAGTTGACTTTCTCGTTCTCTGTACTCTCCCACCGCTTCGAGGCCATTTGGAAAATAAAGTGCGCTCATTCTCTTTCGCTCTCGACTTCGACGACACATGGCGCGAAAGGAGAATGGCGCTCTTTTGTGAGCGAAAACAGAGGCGAACGGTATACGGTGTCATTGTACGCTTTAACAGCGACATCGTGCTGGATAATTAAGTCTCCTGGAACGAACGGCGTAGATGAGAACGGAATGGACCAGCGCGACGGTGACGATGATAGACACATCCGAAAGAAAGTGACAAACGTTTGGAACAGTATAAGTGAACGTATCATAGCGCTCAGTTGAACAATGAGCTGCTCTCCTTAAGATTTATAATTCTGCGTTGGAAAATTTATTCTACTTCGCGCAAATTTCGAGTGTCTACTTTTTACGAGGCTATCCATTTTATATTTTCTTGTATATTTTTGTAAGATTACCTATTTTTCATAAAGGTAACTAATTTAATTCTTTCTTCATGTATTTTATATTGTCTATTTTATAATGTCTATTTTTTATAAGGATAAGATATTCAAAATTGACGGTGAGATAATTTCACTAACAAATTTGGCAATTTAGTGTGATACAAATAAAAATTTACAGGGACGTGTCTTGACTTCCCAGTTGTTTGAAATTTCCGAAACAGTGTGATCGATTTAAAACATCCGACTGCAATCCCCATCAAACTATTTCGACACATTTACGTCATACCCGATGAATTGCTGCGCATCACAATTATCTAACGCGGACAAAAAAAAAACGCGCCGTGATAATCGGGCGGTCGACCGAATTTTCATGCAAATACCCGAGCGTCATGCGACGAGGAGGAATTTTTTAATTTCTGGACGCCGCTGTGCGATTCGCGGAGAGAGAAGGGGTGTCTCGAGGCGAGAGAAGCCGAGCTGTAATCAATTGGTCGTAGCGGACGAGAGAGAGACTTAGCATCGCTAAGACTGGATGTAAATCATCCGGACAAAGCCGCTTAACGATCCGACAAAGGATCCCGCGCGGTCCTTCCTTCGTCCACGAATTATAGAATCGGGAATACGCGCGCTGTGCTTCTTCTCGCCTCTATCCTTCTCCTTCGTTTTTTAAACGGCCGTCTCTCGAGGTCGGCTCCCTCTTCAATTCGCGGCAGCCCGGTCCAAGGCGCGTTTGGCCCAACGTGACGAAATTTATGACCATTGGCAGCGTTGTCTTCGACATAGAACAAATCTCCTGCTCGGGTCGCGTCGCGTCGCGGATTCACCGATTTCGCGATTTGCGCGCCGACCGAATCGAATGCGTCGACTTTCGTCGCTTGTTTTTTATTCGTCGTATTTTCTGCGTCCATTTTTCTAAGACCAGAACTCGGCAAAGATTCGCAGAGACTAATGGCAGGAATGTCCTAACGCTTCTAAATTTTATCGGGACTGTCCGAAGCTGCTCGCGAGGGAAATCTCATTAGTAAATTAATTTTTCTCGCTCGAAATAAATGACGCTCGAGTTATTCACGTCGCGGGATTACGCAGAAAACCTTAACGATATTACATTAACGGAAGCACGGTATCGTTGCACGGCATTCCCCGTTCCTGTTTCAGGTGGTGAGCTCAATGGACGCTATGAAGTATTCGATGGAGGCTGACAAGTATCGCGCTGCCTATATGCCGCCCAGCAGTCTCGCGATGAGCATGTACCCGGACCCCAAGTACCTGGACTCAAGCCCCAAGACCTATCTGGACCGAAGCTACTTGGACTCGGCGAAGGCTTACTTCGAGCAATCGAAGCTCTACATGGATCAGAAACCGCCCCTTGTCGACTACAACCGACCCAGCTACGAGCCCAACAAACTCTACGAGGAGTCCAGCCCAGGTAGCGTCGTCGGCGGAAGTGGACCAGCGAGGTCACCGGCCGCGGAGTCGCCGGACACGAGCAAGCAGCACGAGAGAGCGGAGCAAGCCTCCTCTAGCGCAAGCTCGACGTCCACGTCATCGGCCGCGAGTCCTGGAGCAACTCTACCAGCGTACTATCCCGGACCCGTCCAGGCTGGCGGATTGTTGGGCCCGCAGATGGGCCAGTACGGTGGATATCAAACGGCACCGGCCCCGGGAAACGAGTCTTTCCGCCGACCACTGACAGTCATCTTCTGACCCGATAGAACATAGCTCTGATCCATCTTCGAGGAGCAGTTGCTGTGAACCTGGTCGAGTCGTGACGATGACTACCGCGGATTCAGCAGAATGACACGACGACGCTCTGGCAGAGCATCTGCCCGAATCTTAGCAGTCAGAGTTCCGACGATCAGAAGATATCTTTTGTCCAAACGCGCATTACGGTGCATTTCAAGAAGTGGGCAGTTGCCGCGGATCTCATTGCGGGATTGCCATGGCTACGGCGGATAACACGAAATGAAAGTGGAACGTTGTGTGTGATAGTGTTCTAGGAAAACGTTCTCTTTATTTTACTAGATGGATACCCTGGATTCTGCCAAACTATCCGACGATGACTAATGGCGGTCGTCTTCTCAACGACTACCGCCAACTGACGTGCACCGATGATGAAATCTTTCCAGAGTGTATCTTTCGTTTTAGAAGAATTCCAACAATCTTTAAGAAAGATGTTGTATTTATCGATGTTGTATTTCGACGGGACAAGCGCAATAAATATTTTACGTCAAAATTCAGTGAAACTTCAAGAAGATGTCGTAACATCGTGAATCATCGATACTTTTGAAAAATATCTCCAGGAGAATATCGGTCGAGATGAAAAGTTTATAAAAATTGTCCCAGTTTATAAAGAAATTATTTTCGGTGACAATATTATTTATATATTAGCAAATCGTCTATATTTTGTAAAAAGGATCGTTGATCGATCTGGAAGAATTTCATCAAAGGACTAGAAAAAATTAAACATTTTCCTGGCGATGGATATAATCAATAATATCGCTGCGAGAGAGCAAGAAAAGCCACCAGACCAACGGACTATTCCGAGAGATAAACCGACGATCGACGATGATCATAGGTCATCGTTTACAGATCGCAACGAAAATCGAGAGGACTTCCGCTGTGTCGTCGGCTGACTAGTCTTGACCGAGACGTGTTAAGAATACATTGTACATAGTCCCTGTGTAAATAGTGTAGCAAAAACTTGGCTGTTCCGGGTTTCCGCGCGCGAATCCGCTTTCTTACGTTCTCCATCCCCAGACGCAAGGACTCGTGATCCTTGAAGAGAAAGCAGTACAAATGGAATCGTGTGCGTACGTGGTATCGGAAACCTATCGCGAACACTCGATCACTGGAACAACGTAATGATAACTTATCGTTCTTTTCTCTTCGTTTACCTTCAACCCTCAATTGGTTGTAAAAATAGATATTTAATAATCGTATGACTGCTAAAACGTTGATCGGTACGTATTTCTTTTTAAGAACTCTTTTTAGGTTAGCGGAAATACTAGAAATTAATTTCTTTAAGTAACTATAATTTTGGATCGATAGACAAAAACAGCTCTGACGACGAGAAGCAGGATAGACAGTGCTGTCATACTAAGTCATTTACATGTGTTTATACGGCGTATACTTACGATTTAGCAATTGGACATTGTGTATATATCGATGAATTTCAATTTTGTTTTACTTTATTCGAGTATCACCAGTTGTGGGTTGAGAGATTCCGATAGACCATGAATATTAATCGATTTTTCTCCGCGCGAATTTGTCGCGTAAGATCGTTCAAGTTTTCCATGCGTTTTTGCGGAGAAATTGAATCATTATTTACTTACGATTATTGCTCATCCAGGATGATGGCGTTTTCTAATTTTGCGCGAATAGTATAGTAGCAAACGATATTTATTATTAATTTTTTTTCATTGTACAATTAATTGTATAAAAAGATATTATGTTATCATTGTTTATACTTAGTCACGAAAATGTGTTTAATACGCGAATGTGTTTTATAACGCGAATAACGAGTAGCAATTTTCAATGTGTCTCTTTAGTTTTGCTGTCGTATATTTATATAAAAAAAAATAATTATACAAGTTTATCGTTATATGTTATATGTTCGAAATCGTTACTCGTCATTTGCGAATGTATTTTGGCCAATTAACGAGGATCGTTCAATTATACATAGTAACTGTAGAGATATAAAAATATACACGCGCGACCCGAGTATAATTTCTTGACTGACAAAGGCACACGATCATTTCTGCCTTTTGTTGATTATTTTCTGACTTCCAAATCTGTTATCGCTTGATGGTGTCGATCGAATCGACTTTGCGAAGGAGAGGGGGAGGGGGAGGGGGAAATGAGCTCCAGAAAACGTTTCGCTCGAGACATTCCCGCTATACAACGTGTAATCTTTGTATTCGTATCGTTACGATGAATCTTAAGCTGTATCGATTATTCGGATATTACATTACCAGCGACTCAAGTAAATTATAAGTATTGTACCGTAAGTGAAAAATAAACGTTAAATATTATCCTTCGAATTCATTGTATGTCAAATTTCCTTTTCAGTTTTAGAGTAACATTAATATACTGCGTGATATATAAAATGTCTAAATGATTCCTTTTAGAAATCCGATATTTTGCAAAATATCTTTTTGAAAATATTTATAATAATCTATGATAAAGAGAATATATATGTATATAATATATATATATATATATATATATATATATATATGTATATATATGTATGTATGTATGTATAGCAGATATTTTCTATGAGAGAGAATCTTTGGAAGAACATATTTTCTGAAATATCCAAATTTCTTGGAAATAGCAGCGAGATAATCACTACTGATTATATCGTTGTGCACGTCAAGAGTACAATATAATTTCAATGTAACTCCCGCAGTACATTCACGAGAGATTTCTTTTTCTGCACCAGCGGACAAGCCGCGCACATCCGGATCAAAAAGAGAGGTTCACAATATGCATGTTAGAACGTCGAGATAAAAGGGCCAGATGCTGAAAAGATACTTTCAGGAAATTATTACGTCCAAAGAAAAGTTTGTCTTGGCGGGAGTTCGATTCAGAGCGACACTAGTGCGGGCTTCGTTTCCATGCGCACCTATTCGTATTTCAAAAGAGAATCTCGGTATTTACCTGGGTGAAAAGCGTAAGGTGTTTTCACGGATTCGGGGAGCAGCGTAAAGGTGCGAACGAATAAATGGTTCGAGTTTCCAAACGACAGTCGCAAGATCGCAGCTGCCGTTCTTTCCAGCTCGACAATGGGCGACGCGACGGCGGTCGAAGCCTTCTTAGTTTTTTCCAAGCATTGAGCGTCGAGTTTCGATGCGCATTGTGCATCGATGCACAACCGCCGCGATTTATTTTAAACCAACGGAGCGAGCAATTCTAAAGTCTCAAATAGTGACGCGCATTGACGCGGTAAAAGTTTATTAATCCTTGAGTCAAGAATGTTTAATATTGGATGAAATGTACGTGTATGTGTTTGTAAGAGAAAACAGCATATCAAAAGTATTTAAAAACTTTGGAAAAAAATATAAAGCTTAAAAAAAGAAAAAAGACCAATATAATAACTCTTCAAGAGATACTTCCCGCAACGTTTTGCAAAATTGTATTTAAGCATTTTTAATATATAACTTCGTTCAATCTGCTTGAAAAAAAAATAGAAATAAAAATATTTTTACACACGCTTTTAGATAAAATATTTCTCGAAATATTTCGCAACAATCTATTGTTTATAGTATACGTCCGGTAAGTTTGTTCGTACAACATCCGGCGTCGCGAACGACTTCTGTGTTGGTGCATGCAATCGATACGCAAACACGAATCCTGCGAGACCAGAGAGCGGTGCCGGCTATAGTTGGTGGTTCGCGACCATAATGCGCGAGCCCTCGCGAATGTTTGCGCAACAACCGCGGTGGTTTGCTGCCACCGGCGACGATTGACTTGTCTAAATAACGGCACCTGCTTCGTTCTACCGAAAATAATTACTCGACAAATAACACGGAGCGAGCCGTTCCTTACCTCAAGATTAGGTGATAATTCGTTAACCACTCGGGAGGCGATTTATCTCCGATTGTACTTAAGCTTAGAAGTACATATCTCCTGACACAATCGTTAAAACGCACATGTGAGGTGTCTTTCTCTCTCTTTCTCTCTCTCTCTCTCTTTCTGTCTAACGGACACCGAGATGTGCAGTTAGTTTTACACGGTTATTTACTTTTCTGAGTGAAGCGCGCTACGAGAAATAATTATACAATTTGAAACATTTTACGGTTATTTCTAAGCACGATTTTTTAGGCGAAAATCTAACAGTATTTTTTTCAAATTCTACAATTGTAATGTCGTATCAGTTCCAACATATTAACAAATTATGTCTCAATGCAGAGATCAGCTGTACAAAGATCTGATAAATCCATTTAATTCTTCGCATCGTACATGTCACGTAGTCACACCTGATGCTCGCATCAATCGAAAAGCCACTGTTCACTAAACACGAGATGGCAAATAAGTTCTCTGTCGAGAATAGTGAACTTGGCCGGTTCTTGCAGCCGGGCTTTCAATTCGGAATGTCATTGTCCAGTTTATGAATCGAGCAGTTCTGTTTGCCTCTGTATGCTGTTCTATTTGCCGAAGACAGAGAGAGAAAGAGAGAGGTAGAGAGGGAGAGAGCACCAATAGGGACAAAACTAACATAGGGCGAAGCAGTGGATACACTGACCTAGCGCGAATCACGTAGTCACGTATAGTTCTATACCACTGCACTAGTGGATAAATGGGCAATTTTAATTCACACACACACACGCACACGCACGCAGACAGTTTATACTATACAGAGCGTTCAAAAGCCTTGATTAATAATTCGGCAGTTCGTAACTAAACTCTCGTGTTGCATGTTTCATTAAAATGAAAAACATTGCACGAATCGCAGTATATCCTAATAAAAGTAAAAATTTGTAATAAAATACAAAAGAATATCGTAGAATCCAGCTTGAAAACCCGAAGACGTATTAAGTGAGACGAGACGCGGTGGGATGACGAGTGTGAGAGGTGATTTACATTCCGGCCAAATGATCTCGCTTTCGCCACTCGTGACGTGAGCTATTCTTCGTTGTATAATCAGTTTAATGAGAAGACATTCGTGCCACCTTTTCTCGAACGGCAGCACAAAGAAAAGTGTACCGAGCCTCAACACCGATGTTGAGCAAGTGCCGACAAATCGTAACGTGTAACTCGTAATTAAATTAACGATCGTTTTATTAACCGGAATTGACGACTGACGCGGGCATTTCAAGGGGAAAGAAAATAATCCCGGATAACCGGATGACACGCTGACTAACGAAGCACGGATGATAATCGGTAAAACGCGCGCGGCAATGCCGAATGGAAATTTGTCCTAGAATATTAATTTTATTAGACATGCGTCGGCAAATGGCCATTATGAATGCGATTGTGAGGAGAACCTGGCGAAACGTGTAATCTGTAATGAAATTAATGATCGTCCTATTAATGCGTACCGATGACTCCTGCGGGAATTGAACGACGGCGAAAGATAATCGGATAACGTCACAATGTTAATTAACAAAATGCGGGCAATAATTAATGAAATATGCCTTTTCTTGAATGAAGATTTATCCCACAGAATTTAGTCGACGCGATAATCAAATTAATGCCCGTTTTATTAACAGGAATTGATGATTGCCGCGGTGAACAACGACTGATGCGCGACATAATCCGTTGACCTCTCTTTTTTTCGTTATCAATCGCGTTGTCCTATTTACCGATCTCACTTCTTACAGATGCTAAAGTGCCGATATTAAGTATCTATATTTCGTGTAGCGATTTTAACGCGCATTCGAGAAGGATAAATCCTCTGAAACATATGCATACTATCCTCCTTCCTGATACCCAAAATCCCGCGCATTCCAAAGCCAGCAGGTACTAATGAAGTCGTGAGAGGTCGGTCAGGAATAGTAGTGCGGTCGAGCGCGCTTTCAAACAGCAGGAGCGCGAAGAGGGGGATGGGACCAGGCAGATGATTTAGATTCCACCTAAACGATCTGTCTAAGCCGGCCTGACGGCCTGGCGTTCAGGTCAAGTTCATCGCCGTGCACTTGGTATAATGGATTTAATGAGAAGGTAGCTACCTCCACCCTCCAATGTGTCAGAACTTACCCGGTTTTATCGAGTCAAGATAGAGACAGATATAGAGAAAAGAGATAGAGAGAGAGAGATAGAGAGAGAAAGAGAGATAGAGAAAGAGAGAGAGAGAAGAGGAGAGAGGGAGAGGCACATCCTTCTTCACGCTTCCTGCTTGCAGAACGCACGCTCGACGAAGGGCGCTTAAAATGGTCCTTCTGGGACCAGAAACAATGGACGCGCTTCTCGAGAGGATAATGACGGTGAAAATTGTCAGTTTGTCGTGCTAAGGGGCGTGCATGAGTCCCTAATCACTGTTCTCGCGGCTTAGGTCTTGTTATCATTCGCCAAGGGGTATGTTACCATGGTTCTTTCGAGGCCTTTTTATCCAGTCACTGACCGTAAACAAACTAACAATGCCGTCGAGACGTCTAACTGTTCATTACGTCTTTTGGCAAGATACCCCCCTAGTTATTAAAACGACACGAATCCTTTCGCTGTAGATTATATGTTTTAGAGAGATGACGAAGATATTTTAGAATGGGCCTAACTTTCAAGATATAAAAGCTTGTTTGAAGGTGCAACGACCTAAAAATTTACGAATTGGTACGGCATCCCCCGCTCGGTAAGTGGGGAGGTCCAGGTTCGATTCCTGACTAAGGCAGTAATTTTTGCAACTTAAAAAAAATAAAAAATAAAAATAACGCGCATTTGGGATTTTAAAAAAGAGATATATTAATTAATTATAAATTATTGGTATTCAAGATCGATTTAAAATATTTGATTCACCGTGAAAAACCGGAAAATCATTCGTTTTGACAGAGTACGTCTGACTATCAAACATTATTCTCCCACTAAGCATCGCTTGATAAGCAAAATTGTCAATAGAAACAACAGCAACTTACCTTGTCCTTTTGCCCCTAACTCATCATTATATCGCAGTATTTTTTACTCACTCATCGCACACGTTATTTTAACACGTTGACTGTGGTGTCAAATTACACGAGAGTCGCCGAATGATTTTCGTATAATACAAAGTCAGTTCTTAATCTTTGCATTTGTCACATTATGATGCTCTGCGGTACAATCGATAAATTTCAATTGACAATCAACGTGTTAACAGAAGCTTGCTTTGATATTTAAGGGAATACTGAAGTCGATGACAAACTCAAAAGATGTCAATAACGCAGAGACGATCGTTATTAACACAATCATGCTATACTTTTCGTATTTCTTGTGCATACAAAACTTATGTAAATGTGTGTTATTTCATTTTACCATATTCAGCAGGAAACCTAACCATACATGTGTAAAAATTTTTCTGCAAACTTCGGATATTCTTAAGCTGAATTCAGATGCGAAAAAAGGTACAGCAATGTTCTTTAAAATTTTTCTGTTTAGAATATCCACATTTTCGATATATATAAACTGCGGAACTTTTGGATTAGACAAATATTACTAACTGACAGCTTGAGATTTTATATATAAATTTTTTTTTCATTTTCGTCACATATTGAACAATGTTCCTATTTATTTTTGCACGTACTTTCATTGCGTAAAAATATTTGTAATTTTGTACAATCAATACGATGTAAACTTTGCAGAAAAATACTTGTCAGTATCCTGTCAGTAAAGTTTTCAGCTTCAACATCCCCTTAATCGCCTATTATGCTCTCTTAAATCATGGACGATTCACGATTACATAATATTTATGCAATATTAATGAATATATGTGAGTATAAAGTCTCATTAAAATTAATAAGAATTAACAATGGATAAACTCATACATAATTTAATGTAACTAATAGACTTCAATATGAAACGGGCAATATTCAATATTTCAACTTGTACTTATTAACTTGTATATGCTATTACACGGCGTAAGTAAATAAAAGACCAATGAAAATAAATATATCACAAAAAGAATATTAATGACTCAATCAATTTAACTACGCCTGCTTATATACGCGCAAAGATGTACAGAAATATTACTGAATCTGTATAAATATTTTGCAATTTTCGCGTCAGTAAATATTTCGGTCTTATGTAAGTTTAAATCGTATCGCACCACAACGTAACACGTGCGTGACAATCCGAATTAGGTATAGAATTTCTCGCGAACCGTCCATGAAAAGGAATGTCAATGGCCGTGACCCTGAGCGTCTGACACCGGTAAATCTGTTTTTACCGAGCTGAGCGATCGTTGAACTGATTTCATACTACAAGCGCCACGCGCCCGATTGCGCTTCTAGGCCGAGGTGGTAAAATTTATTTCTGTCGTTTGTGCAATTTATCTTTCAAGCAAACTTCTTCCGTATGCAGATGTAACCAACACAGTCTACGTGTAAATAACTTCACACTCTACGCTCTTCTCAATAAATACGCGTCTTAACAATTAACGACTGAATAATCAACACTTGTAGCTTTCATTTATATTGAAATTAATTTGTATTGAATTTCAATCATTTATAATCACATTTTTTTCGATGAAAATAGAGAACATTAATTTAAATTACAGTACTCATACGTCTTTATCAACAAATCGATTTGTATCGACAGCACAAATTATATTGTGCGAACATGTGTAAAACTGTCTTCAAAGATCTAAAGAATTTCTCTGACAATTAGTGATTGAACTGATAATCCGAGCATTAATAAATAATAAATTCGTATATCATCAAATGAGAATTAATTAATTCGTCAATAACCGATATAAAGTGACTATGCCTCCAAATAAAATTATTTTCAATAATCCGATTAAATTTTTCCAATATATAAAATTAGCTTCAGTTACCCGATGGCGTTTTCCCATTAAACAAATTTAATTTAGTTTCCCTGAATACGTTTATATAATGAATAAAATTGATACTGATACATGAACGCATGTTTTCAATAAATAAATTCATATTGGTATAACTTGTGTGTGTGGACTCGCTTCTCGAATGAATAATATTATCTTCAGTAAACTGATCGTGTTCCTCTCCAATAAATAAAATTAATTTTGTTTGGTTGACACTTTTCCAATAAACAAATTTCATTTTAATCTACCGAGGCCTGAGGCTCATTGGTAAATAAAGTAGATGCTGATGATTTATCCAGAATTTATTCAGATAACCTGATCAAACTTAATAACAGAATGTAAACTATCAGCCAAATGAGTAAATTTAATAATAAAATTAATTTAATTTAATAATAAATTTAATAATAAATAAATTACTGTATTATCAAGAATATAAAATACAGAATATAGTGTATATAATCCAGAATTATTAAAGTGTTGATTATCCATTTCGTGTAATGATTTTTGTTTCTTAAATTCAATAATGTGAACGTACTTGAATAGATTTTAACTTTTCTCATTTGTAAGAAAAGAACAAAATTTATCTTCTATCAGTCAAATTTATATCAAAAATTGACTTTTTAAATTAAATTAAAAAGTAATAAAAGCCACTTAATCAAAGAAAATAGAAAAGTTAAATTAATTAATTTAATATATGTATTCAAGTCATTAACATTAACCATCAGTTAAAGCACGATGAATATGTAGCTTGACGGTGCTAAGTAAGCGTAAGCCGGTAAATAATCATGAAACTAATATTTAACTGGCCTCACTATGAAACCGAATCGCTAACTAAATGTTGTCGCCAATATTGTAGTTCGATCTGTAATTTTTCATTGGAAATCGTATTTCGTTGTCACCACCAATAATGATATATGTAATATATAATTATATAAATTACATGATAAAAATATATTAAGCAATTACAAAAGTAAAATTTAACTTGACAATAATTATAAGCACGACATAATTTTTAATTATTTTAATTATTTGCGACAAAATTCAGTCTAAGATTCGACTTCAAATTCAACTTGAGATTAGACTCATTTTATGGCTCAGCTTATGAACAAACGAATAAATTCACTCACCGATTATCTCGTCGCCATTGTTGTCGTCACTCTTTCATCGTCGTCATTACTTCATCGTCATCATTACCTCATCGTCGTAATCGCAGACATTATGATTCGATCTGCAATTTTTCATTGGAAGTTGTATTTCATTGTTATCAGGAAAATATATAATTACACGATGGAAATATATTAAGCAGTTGCAAACATAAAATTCAACTTGAAAATTATAAGCACAAGATTTTTAATTACTTTAATTATTTTAATTATTTTCGACAAAATTTAACTTAAGATTTGACTTTAAATTTGACTTGAAACTTACTTTATAACTCAACTTATGGACAAATGAGTAAATTCACTTACCGATTATTTCGTTGATGTTGTCGTCGTCATTGCCTCATCGTCATCATTGCAGACATCGTGTTTCGATCTGCAATTTTCCTTTGTCGTATTTTTTTGTCATCACTAAAATATATAATTACATAAATTACACAATAGAAATATATTAAACAGTCGCAAAAATAAAATTCAACTATATAATAATTATAAACAAAAATAAAATTCAACTATAATAATAAGTACATGATTTTTAATTATTTTAATTATTTGCGACAAAGTTCAGCTTAAGATTCAACTTCAAATTCGACTTGAGATTTGGTTTATTTTATGGTTCAGCTAAACAAACGAATGAATTCACTCACTAATTTTTTTGTTAGCGTTGTCGTCATCATTGTCTCTTCATTATCGTCATCGTTGTCGTCATTGCCTTCATCGTCGTCGCAGACATTGTGTTTCGATCTGCAATATTTCATTAGATGTCGTATTTTGTTGTAATTTTTTAATTATACGAAATATAAGAGTAGATGCCAGTATACTTAATTCTGGACATTTTTATTTCGTCTCTAATACGAATATTAAAACTTTGAACATAAAATATATAAGATAAGTTAATAACTATTGCCACCTTGAAGATCTTTGAAGCAAAAAACAAAAGTAATTTTAAGATCTTCAAAGCTGCTTCATCCAAAAAAAAGTAACCACCATAAAAAAATTTCTTTTAATTAAAATAAAATTTTAAATACATAAATATATTTAAAAACCAAAACAATAAAAATATCAAAAATTAAAAACATACCCAGATATTGGCACCTAGTTTCTCTATCTGGCCTTCTATATTCTATAAATAGAGAATAGTTTCAAATACCTAAAGATCACCTTTGTTTTTTACTTTGAAGATATTCAAAGTGACAATAATTATTAACTCACCCTTTATATATTATGATGTTACGTCAAAAGTTTAAATTTGTGCATACTCATATTCAGAAATTAAAATAAAAATATCCAAAATTGGATATACATACTCAAAAATTGGTATCTAATATTTTTATTGTTTGGTCTTTGAATATTTGTATTCAAAAACCAAAACAATAAGAATGTCGAGAGTTAAGTACCAATGTTTAGACCTATACTTAGTACTAGACATTCTTATTGCTTTGATTTTCAAATATTTATATTCGAAAACCAAAACAATAAGAATGTACAAAGTTAAATAACAATGCCTGGACACATACCTAATTCTGGACATTCTTATCGCTTTGGTTTTTAAATACTTATATTTAAAAACCAAAACAACAAGAATGTACAAAGTTAAATACCAATGCCCGAACACATACCTAATTCTGGACATTCTTATCGCTTTGGTTTTTAAATATTTGTATTTGAAAACTAAAATAATAAGAATGTCCAAAGTTAGGTACTAATGTCTGAACAAGCATTTAATTCTAGATATTTTCATCAATTTGGATTTTTAAATATTTGTATTCAAAAACCAAAAGAATAAAAATGTCCAGAGTTAGATGCTAATGCCTAGAAATGTATTTAATTCTGAATATTTTCAGTTTCGGTTTGTAAATATATTTGTGTTAAAAAATCAAAATAAAAATTCCCACAATTAGATACATGTCCTGGCATTGATATATTTATTTTACTAAACAATTACGCAAAGTTCAACTCAATAAGAATTATAAACGTGTTTTTGTGGCAGAATTCAACTTGAAATTCTATTTCAAATTCGAGACTTAGTTTATTTTATGATCGAGCTTAAAAACATACAACGAAAGAGTGAATTCATTTATTACCTCATCCCCATCATCATCCTCGTCGTTGTCGTCTTCGTCGTTCTTGTCACCTCATCGTCGTCATCGCCCTCCATCGACGCCGTCATTCTCTCTCTCTCTCTTTCTCTCTCTCTCCCCCTCTCTCTCTCTCTTTCACTCACTCATTCACTCACTCACTCGGAGTATCGGCTCGATAGATACAAGTCAATCTAAAAAAAATGCGATTATGAACTCGCCGACACTAATTAACGCAGAACGTCTATCGATCGCCATCTTGCACACTCGCTACTTGTACGTGCCCCACACTGCGCTTTCTCGCGGCTTCGATGCATTTTACGCGGACAAATAACGCGACGAGACTACTCATCGCTACATACCGCGCGTTGGATATGTTATTTATTGCTTCCTCGTGCTTTACACTTTAGGTAAACAAATAACGCGACAAACACGAGAATGGATTATTGGATTCGTTCGATTATCGGCGTCGTTCTAGAACATTCTAAAACATTCGCTGTGCATGTTTGATCGTGCCCTTCGATCCAACATTCCAGACGATTCAGTTCAACGACAATTTCAGTGATAATTTCAACGAACGAGTATTATTACACCGAGCGGGTATTCAAACACTACGAGAGCACAGCTAATTGTATTAATTACATACCCTTGATCGCCCGATGCACGACTCGACGCTTTCGGACACGCAAAGTACCCATGATGCCTTGCGATAAACTCAGGACGCTCGTCCACCCTACCCGCCCCCATTCTAGACATTCGATGCTCACCGACCGCGAATGTAGCAAGATTCCGTCAAGCGCAATCGTTCACGGCATTTAACGCATCGTCGCGATTCTCTTATCACCGAATTGGCAATTTCGAGACATTTGTATTTACCTGGAATGCGATCTCAACGGGGAAGCAGTCAGGAGGCACAGGGAAGACACTCGCTCGCGCGCGAGGTAGAAGACGTCATTATTAAATGTACACAAAGATGGGAAGTTATCGTCTCGGAATCGGTCGCGCGTGATCGGGTGACTGAGGCGCCACCCCACTCCTCTCTGCGCTTTGTTTTAATTCGCGACTTGTATTCATAGCGCCTCAAGCTGAAGGCACTCGTAAGCCGCGTCGCGCGACGCCGCGACTTTGCCGACCGTGACCTAACAGTGCGTACGTGTTGTCTCCTGTAGTGACGCGTCGCGATCGGTCGTTCGCGGAGCGCCCGCTCAATGCTGATTTTTTCAATCTCTTAAATTGTGTGTTCCGATATTCACTGCCACAGTACTGAAAATACTATGCGTTACGTAAACTATAGATTTTAATACTGCAATTCTAGACAAAATCGTAAAACTCGTAACTTGTTCTCGTAAGAACTTATGAATAGATCTGCAATTCTATATGGACCGTATAATAATGGACCATATAATAACTCGTAAATATCTACGATTTTTTTTGTTTTTTTCGTAAGCTACGACTTTACGATTTACTCGTATATTTGCTTAGAATTGCAGCATTAGGATTAGCAGTGTGTGAATATCGGAATATTCTGAATTGGTAAGCTAACTACAATCGGGAGCGTCCCGATTGACCACGGTACGATTGAACACAATCAACCGATGCAAAGAATTATCTAGTGAATTACTAGGTCGAACCAATCATTACAATCTGTGTCCAATCGTATCGTGGTCAATCGGGTCCCACCTTTAAAAATCATACGTCTGTCTTTGTTTTTCCTTAAAGTTAGATAAAGACAGACATAATTTAATCGTTAGCTTACCGAAAGATTGGAAAATCGGTCCTCGGTGAAATATTCGCCGGTCGTATGAAATATTCGTCGATCGTGTGAAATATTCGTCGTTCGTGTGAAGTGTTTGTCTCTCACCACGGCGAGCTGTTTGTCGTCGTCGTTGTCGTCGTCGTTCGAGCCTGTCATCGCAAAACAGAGAACAGGGCTAAATTACTGAGGTAAGCCTGCAATTTAACATTGACGTTTGCAATACTTTGCGAACCGTGCGATCAAAGAACGAATGTAAAGACGTGTGATTAATTAGTCCTCGCGGTTGTAATCCACGATTAGTGATCGCTATTAACACGTCATTTGACGATTATCACCTAATCTATGTCATATAAACTTGCAACGCGCTCGTTAATATATATGTATATATATATATATATATGTATATATATATATATATATATATATATATATATATTGTACTCGTTAAATCGCACATCATGTTATTTGCTTGCAAAATTTACGTGATACACACGGAATTCCTAAAATTTCCGACTAGTCACGTCAGTTTTTGTCATTATTAATTAATCGAGAATATATTCCTGTTTTGTGCATTAATCGACAGTCATGAAAAATGCGTAGTTAGAAAGGTGTGTGTGCCCAGTAAACACAAAGTAACATAACATCAATGTTACAATTTTCTACTCAACAATGTAACTGTTATATAACGTGCGTGTTATATAACGGTTACATTGTTGAGTAGGAAATTATAACATTGATGTTATGTTACTTTGTGGGTGAGTGGTCGAAAATCTTTAGTAATTTAGTAACTAGAAAAAGTAGTAAGTATCGATCGCTCTATCGAATGGTGGGGTTTACATGGAACAGAGCGCATCGTTGCAGGAGTGTGACAATGTTCATGTCGCTGCGCGAATTTTCGACGTATGCTATTAATTGCGTGGCTATCTTCAATCTTTTACATCGAGCAGCCGCCATGGATACACGTCGATCGATGTCGCTCCGCGTTTTACGAATCTCTTATCCGTCAAAAGTAAGTCTCGCGCGTGTCGGGAGTGCCGAAATAGCAACGTGCGATCGTCGGGATATATCGTAAGTACGTTATTAGAGAGATCTCCTCATTGTACGACGCCCACAACCGATCGCAACGTGTCGAGTCAACGTCTCTTGCACATGTGTGTATTATCGACTCTTGCACGAGTGTGTACTCACTCAGGTAGTAATAGAATCAGACGATTGCCGGATTTATTAATCGAGAGTCAGAAATTCGCGTTGATAATCCGAAAAGAACAGACAAAGACGAGTCTCGCGGGAGGTAGCGTCAATCTATTAGCGAGAGAGAGAGAGAGAGAGAGAGAGAGAGAGAGAGAGGGATATATCCCATAGAACGCGTACTTGTCGGAGCGCGATACCGTCGTGTTTTCGCGCATTTTTAACGTACATCGTCAATTCCGCGGCCATATTTGATTTCGATCTTTTCAATCGGGCAACCGACATGGACATACAACGATCGACATCATTCCGCGTCTCTTGTCCATCGAAAGTGAGTCTCACGTGTAAACAAAGTGTCGGGAGTGCCGAAATAGCGACGTACGATCGACGTTATTAGCAGGGAGTAATCTCGTGTGATCTTCGGTACATGCAGCCCGGTGCTTGTCGCAATGTGTCGTGTCAGCGTCTCTTCCACTTGTAAGTAACATCGTTTCATTTAAGTATACAGAGAGAATATTATAGTTTTTTTTTATATAAATTCTTTCCAATTTTACTATATTTTTGATAATACAGGTAGATTGTCAATAAGATTCATCTTGCTGAGAAACATAATAAGTTTCGCTATAAATATATAAAATTATTTAATAGCACACATTTCAATTCTTAAAATATAAGTAGCACATATGAGATGACAGTCAATGACTACAAAATATCAATTCGTTTCTAGGTTACAAAATTCCATAGTAATTTTTACTATGAAATTCTCCCTGTGTATACTGAAAGAAAAATATATGTAAGAAATAAAAAATATTTATTCGATGGATAAACATATTTACTTACATTAATATAAAATACTTGTTAAATAAAAATGTTTTTTTAAACATTAATTTTTTATGGAAGCAATTGTTTATTTAAAGAAATGAATATATATTTAAATAAATATATTGTTAGTACCCAACGAATAAATATTTTTTATTTTTTATATATAATCTAAATAATTGGACGTAGTTATCATGTATTTTTATCTTATCTGCCAGTATTTTTAAAAGAATTAATGCATGGCTAGATATTAACATTAGGATTACAACGTCATCTATTATAATTCTGAATACGATTTCATATTTATTAATAATATACAAATTGAAGTAATTTTTTAAGAAATAATAAGATCATATATATATATATATATATATATATATATATATATATATATATATAT